GGGTAGCACCCACAGATCCTGCTTGGATCTGAGTGACATCTTTCTACAAAGCTGTAGTCTCTGGGCAGCCAGGAAACTTCCCCAAGCTCTTGAATAAAAATACCTCCTTCTACAAGGGCTGGGAAGATAACAGAGTCCAACTCACCTTCCCTTGCAACATACAGGGGATGAGAGCGCTGTCCTGGGCCTAAAATCTCTCATAGTATTATCCAAAAGAAGAGCGAGACTCTGTTGAGAAGTCTCTGAATTTGGATAAACTAGGAATAGGCCCACCCCTCTTCCCTTTCACTCATTGGCCTTTTGGGTCTCCATTATCTGACAATTGGCTACGCACCAGGAGAAGTGGTCCGGATCTGGGCTAAAGAAAAAGCTAGTCTTTCTCTTCGACCTCTTCCTTAATTGATCTTCACTTTGGGATATTCCATGAGAGCTAGCTCTTGCAGATGGTAATGGTCCTCTGTATCACTTCTGCTAACTTTCCCTTACGAGTCCATGGAGTGTGGGAATTTTATATGGTGAGCTCATCATCTATGGTGGGCTTTTTTGTCTGTTTTTTCTCAATGGGAGTCCTTTGCATCTTGGGTCATGGGCTATCTTTAAAAAGAAGGTTTCATACTATTCCCGCTGGCACCAGAGTGAACTATTGACCCCACAAAATTCTGTGTGAGTTCTTGACTTGGGGTTCCCGCAACTACTTAAGGCATGAACTTGGACTTAGGCCTGCATATGGGCTTTCGTGTTTCCATTTCTCATGATGACAGGTGCCTCTCCTTTGTTTCCTTGGGCCATAGAGAAGAAAGAGCCTGGACAGTGTTCTCCTTGTACTGTCTCTATTTCTCACACCTTCTGTCTGGCACATTACATTCAACATCCCTGAACTAGGGTTTACCTCTGTGTAAAAGCCACAGTGTCAAAATCCTGCCTTGACTCTGACTTTCCTCTGTTTCTGGCTCCAGAGCGAGGTGTGGCTGTGTATTAACTACTCTGCTGTTATATTTTACCCAGCTCTGTTTTGCTAAGCTTAGTCTGCCTGGTTTCTGAGCACCCACGACATTCCTCTTATACCTTTGACTATACTGAGGGTGAGAACTACCTTTGCACAAGTTTCGCCCAGTGCTTGGTAGTGTTGCCCACTAGAGGCCAGTGAAGCCCGCTCTCTGCAGCTGCCCTGGGGACATGTGTGTTCCTTGGCTTCTCTGAGAAGCATCAGGGATATGCTGGCACCAGCTCCCTTCAGCATCATTTCAGCCTGCATAGACCCAGGAGGGAAGCTTGCAGTGCTGTAGAACAGATTTTGCCAAGCCAAGCCACTCTCGAAAGCTCCAATGCACCCCGAGTGACTTTGAGCAACCTAGAACTTGTTTTCATCTCCTCTCAGATTGACATCACTCTCGGGGGTCTCTGCAGGTGCCCCTCCCTACTGCTGCAGCCTGGGCCAAGGCCAGAGAGGATGCTTTGGGGAAGAGGAGCTCTTGCTGCTAATGGTGGTGGGATGCAGGAAATGAGCAATACAGAGTGAGACTGTAGAGTCCCGGATCAGAGGGGCTGGGGAATACTTAAGGGTTAAAGGCTATTCCCCTGTGGGGCCCTTAGAAGAGGATAAGAAGGTGGCTGGAGGTAGCTCCAAGTAACTACCCTGAGGTACAGGAAGCCCGAGGCCAGAGTGCCCCTGGCCCACTGTCCCTTTTAGTGGGTCCCATTTTCCTTATCACTTAGTTGAGACTCGGCTCTGTTCCAGACCGGCAGCCTAGAGCAGTGGGCTGGAGCAAAGAGATGCAGCCGAGCTAGGGCAACCCAGCAGCGGAGGGGAGAATGGGTGATAAATTTAAATAACCAGCTTGACTTGGCAGCTTGCTGAGTTGTGATGCAGTGAAATTAAAATCTCGGCAGAACTTCCAAATGCTACCCTGAGAAATCGGTGTCTTGCCTTGGTTCCCTGCTGGAAGCTGGGTAGGGAGGCTATCGGGCTGAGTCCTAGCCTGTGGCAGCAGCCACCCTTGCCTTGATGTGATTAGCAGTGTCCTGGCCCACTGGCTCCCGCTCTCCCCTCCACACAATAGTCCAGGCTCCTGTCTCCTCTCAGTCCTGACCTTGTGGAACAGCTGTATCAAGTGGCTGGTGAAGTTTGAAATCAGCCTCTAGTGCCAGGAGGTGGCAGGAATATCAATAAGGTCTGGCTTTTCAGGATGGGCCAAGGCCTTCCCAGCCAGCTTCCTTAAGAGCTGTTTCTTAGGGTTTGCCTCTTCTTAGGGAGGAAGGGGACTTGTGGAATGAATGCCTCGACACATGCAAGGCTATAAGCACAGCATGACCTTGCAGCTCCCCAATTTAGTACTCCCCAGGCCCCAGTCACCCACCTACTACTAGGTTCCCTTTTCCAACCACCCTTGCTATTCTCATCTGAAATAAGAATGTGAGCGGGATGCAGTGGCTCACTCTCTTTAATGGAAGCGGTGGGTTAAAGGCCAGCCTGGGCTACATAGTGAGACTCAGTGGGGAGGGGGCAGTTAGTGGGGAATTTCTGCAAATACACCAAGAGTCTCTGCCATCTCCCAGTGTGCTTGAAGCCCAATTCTCACAAATGTTAATGTCTCTCTAGAACTCACTCAAAAGTCCATTTGTTCTGCCTGTCCTTGCCACACCACTTATTGCTACCTATCAAGTCCTGGCCCCCAAAAGCCAGCAAGCTAAACCTGTTCCAAGATGGCCCATGAAGTCTCTGGGCAATACCCGTTTCTCACCTTGACAGTACCTCCAGCAAATTCTGTTTGTCCCCATAATAAACACATCATGAATCATTCATCTTTAATAGATTATGCAAATTAGGAGGACATAAAATCAACAAAGATCAATAGCTGCAGCCGTTTAATTGCCAGCAAAAACATTTTAAGAATGAGCATAATCTGCAGCCCTTTCTCGAGTAATGGCACTATTAATCCAAACATTGGATCTGGGTCTAAGTGTGGAAAAATCGCTCCCTGCCCCCACACGCCCCACCCCCTCCACACTTCACTCTTTTTTGGTAATTTCCAGTTTCTGAGCGAGTTTCCCCGTCATTACCACTGGTGAACATCTCCGAATGTTAATGGCTTTGCTTTTGTTACTCCTCGCTTGATTGAAATGTCGCATACAGATTGAGATGTTAGTGCTAACTTGCCACCTGGGAATGTCAAGCTGGGTCTGAAATGAACTTTTCTCACACTTGGATCCAGATGGATCAGCCGAAGATGTTCCCAGGCTGAGCTGGGGCGGTTCCAGGGCCATGGGGGGGAGGCTGGGGGGGCTGCTCAGGGTGGAGGCATTTTCTACATTAGCCCCCCAGTGTCCCCTGCGGCAGGAGTCCTGCCCAGAAGAGCCACATGTCCGTCCCCAGGAAGTTCCTGCCTTCTGGATCGAGGCACTGACTAGGGAGAGAAGTCCTCACACTCTCACCACTTTTGAGGAGCGACCACTGTGCTGGAAAGCTGTCCTGGCTTGGGTTGGAAGATTGGAGAGCAACTACATCAGGCTTCAGAGAACTTATATCCAGGCCTGTTGATCTAAGCCAGAGGCTCTCAACCTGTGGGTAATGACCCCTCGGGGGTCAAATATCAGGTATCCTGTATATCAGATATTTACGTTATGATTCACAACAGTAGCAAGTTATGAAGTAGCAAGGAAACACTTTTATGTTTGTGTGTGTGTGTGTGGGGGGGGGTCACCACAGCATGAGGAAGTCACAGTCATGAGGAGGTCACAGCATTAGGAAGACTGAGGACCACAGATCTGAACTGCATCCTGCCTCACCGGGGATATCACTCCTGAAGGCCTGGTCAGCCCAGGACCACTCCATAGACTCAGTCTTTGGATTCCTAGCTGAAGACTACAACTCTGGTTTTGCTGGACACAACTGTACAGGGACATCACTTTAGGAGAGCATGGGAGAGGTAGGGCTCTCTGGAGCCCCCTGGAGGGGGGCTTGGAGCCCACCTCAGCCTGAACTGTGCTCCTATCCACAGGAAGTTACCAAGTCACCAACACAACAAATCACCACAGATCCCTGTCCTGTGGCAGGGCCCATGCCTGTTCCATCTTTGCCTCTGGATATGATGCTGGCTGCCTACAGCCTTGCTGTCCTGTCCCCACGCGGTCTCAGCTCACTCACAGGTAACGCCTCAGTGTCTCCCAGTCCCCACCGAGACCCTTCTTGATCATCCTGCTTCCCAAGGTACGAACGGCACATTGGCTTTAGTGCCTCCAGAATAATTAGGTGAATTTTAATAACACCTCAATGTGTGTCTCTCTTCCTGGAGCACTCTCCTGGCCCGGAAACCCTTCCATGGCACCAGGGACCTTCTGAAGGTGGCATCTGAAGCATCATCTACCAGCCCTCCCCTACATGGCCACTCCAGTGCCTCGGCAGCTCTCATCCCTGGGATGCTTGGCCACAGTGCCTCTGCCCTGTATTTGACCCCCCCCCCCAGCCTTGGAATCCAACTTTCCTCTCAGTGACTTTCTCCAGGAAGTAGGAGAAAGGCTGCAATAATATGTTCCACTCTACAAGGCTGCCGCTATGCCCTCAGGTCCCAGGCCATGGCTACTTAAGCTGCCTGGAGAGGGGAACGAAGCCCTCAGCACCCTTGTGGACAGAGAAGTGTGAGGGCTAGAGACTGGGGACCTCTGAGCCACTTCCCTTAGCTGGCCTTGACATTCTTCTGCACATGTCCTAGCCAGGGGCTGGGAAGTCTGGACAGCTTGGGAGATGGAAAAAAGGAAGCAAGGACAACCGAGCGAGCAGGCAGCAGGTCCCTAGGCCCCACCTCTTCAGGGTGAAGCCCAGAGCCCTGACCACAGTATTTCATGACCTCATCCACACACATCTGTTCAGGAAGGCTCTCCTTCCTCTCTCTCACTCTGCAGACACCATGGCAGGGGGCCCACTTGCCACACTGGGCCCCAGGTGGCATATATCAGAGGCACCCCACCAAAAGCAGCACCCCCCCTCCTGAGAGTTCCCTTACCAGTCACGACGGGGTACGTCTGTGTGCCTGACACATTGCTGCCCAGCTCAGGGTTGGTAGATGCAGATAGACCTGACTTGACTTCATCAAGTCCAGGGGTCAGGGCCGGGAGAGAGTATTCATTCCCCTGGGAGGAGAGAGAAAAGTGACAGCTCTCTATTGATGCGTATACATGGAAAGATTCAGTGTGCAGATGGAGAGGAGGACCCCGGAACCCTCCCAGATGGGGTGGAAGGAGATGGCTGGGTGGGGCAGGGGGATGGGGAGGGGCTCTCTGGGTGGGGCAGGAGAGTTTGGTGGGAGTGGAGTTTGAGCGGGGGTGGGCCTGACATGGTGAGTGGAGGTATAGTCTCTACACTGGGGGTGAACTTCCCAGCACCCCTGGAGCTTCTTCATCAGTCTTTTGCCTAAGAAGCTCCAGGAGGCAGTATAGCAGTAGGGACCCCTTGCTGAGAAGTGTGGGGTTGCTCAGGGTCCTCTGAGTAGAAGCCTTGGGGACCAGAGATGGTCCCTGACACATGGCTGAGGTGGTTGTTGGGGGAAGGACCTGGTGGGGCCTCCAGCCTGGCACTGCTGGGTTGGCTGATGGGGTATGGGCGCCCCCTTTTAAAAAACAAACAAAGACAGCCCCATGGGCCCCTTGCTCTCTGCCTGTGCACTGGGGTATGAAATTGGGGAGGGGGAGAGTCCACATGGCTAACAGAAGGGTGGGAGGGGGCCAGCCATTGAGTCTGAAAGGGTGTCCTGCCCGAAACACTTGGGTAATTGCCTTTTTATTGCAGCCACCACCAAGCCAGACCCCGGAGCTGGGCAGACCAGGAGCCACACAAAGCAGGAAAAGTTGCTCTGATTAATATTACGTTAAATTAAAACTGATTTTCTGCTCTTTCGGGTCCGTTTTTTTCCCTTCCGCTTCCTGGCCCCCCCAGAGGACCCCCTCCCCTCCTGGCTGGACGGGATTGCCTCGTCATTTCCAATTCCTTCTCGTATTGATCTTCCTGTAGAAATCAGTTTTGTAATTAGCTGCAAATTAGGCCTTCTACTGGGGGTGAGGCTGCCCCCTGATTTATCACCAGAGTAATTCGCTGTGATCGGAGAGAAATTAAAATGAACTCAATTAGGCTTCGGATTTGCTTTATGGGCCCTGCTCCGAGTTTCAGGGGGAAAAATGACTGTGCTGGTGTTTAATAGTCTAATGAAAGTAAATAAAGGTTATTCATTGTAATACAGCCAGGGACTTGGGGAGGGCGCACCGAGCCGCCCGCCTCGGCCAGCTCCTCCTTTGTTGGTTTATGGCTCAGGGCACCTTAAAAAGACTTTTGATTTTTGTTTTATGAAGACAAACAGCTTATGGGATAAAAGGACGGGCGGGGAGAAAGTCGAGAGGCTGGGAGCTGCTGGAGTCTTGGAGTGAAACTGTGTGTGTGGAGCCTGAGGGGCTGTGCCAGTGTACAAGTGTGTGCGCCTGTGTGTGAGCATACAAGCCTACGTGTGTGCCCAGCAGGCTGCGTTGTGCTGCAGTTGGAGGCCTGACCTAGGCCATATATGTGGGCTGGTTGGGGAGCTACACTGATGTGTGGGTGGAGGCGTGTGCTACAGGGCTGTTGAGGGGGTGACCAGGGAAGTGTGTGCATTCATGGGGCCTGCAGGACTGCTGGGCTACATAGTGAGTGTAGGGTGGAAGAGCAAGGGAATGACAGTGGGAAATGGGAAGTATTTTATTATAATTATTAAAATAAAATATTACTGTGTGGGGAGTAGGTCATACCATGGTCATACCATTGCACACATGTGAGTGACAGAGCACAGCTCTGTGGAGTCAGTTCTTCTCTCCCACCTTTACATGGGTTCTGGGGACCAAACCCAGGCTGTCAGGCTTACAGTGTTGGGTGGCAAGTGCCATTACCCACTGAGCCATCCTGCTAGCCCTGAAATGTGAGGTCGTTGGGGATATGTTTCTGAGTGCTGTGTTTTGCTGATGTCACTATGTTGTATGCTCCTCTGTGTCTGTAAGCATTGTGGGTGGCTGAGACAGCTGTTGGCTGGCCGGGGTTCACCATCAATGGATGCGTCAGGGAGAAGGAGGCAGGCGCAGGTGGCTTTCCTTCTGACACAGGACAGGAGGATCTTCACAGACCTTCTGTAGGACTTTGCTGGAGGCAGGGCAAAGGTCATAGCAAGAGGATATTTCTGTCTTTCTCATTCCAGGATCACAGAATGCAGAGCTAGGGTTGGGGAGCTAAGGGATGACCAACATTGCCTTTCATAAGGAATCGGAAACTCTGAATAGAGATAACATGTGCCCTTTTACCAGATCTCATCATCTTCAGTCACTATACACTGAAATTATTTTTCTTAACTATGCCTTAACAGTGGTCTGTGCCATCAAGTTCACAGAGTGCACACACAGTAGCCGTATGAGTGCAAGCAGTGCTGGGTGAACAAGCAGCTCCCTCTCACCTGTTCTGATTTGATGTGCTCGGATGCCTGGAAGACATCAGGATAGGAAGGACGTTCGAAGACTCGATCCAAAGCTTCCAGCTGCTGCTGGGTGAAGGTATCGGCTCGAAGGTGCTTCCGTAAACTGTCCACACCACTCTGGGAGTCTCCATTGGGGACAGAGCCCTCGGACACATCTGGGGAACACATAGACACAAACACCAGGCCATCAGAAACGAGGGAGAATGCAGTAGGTAAAGGGTTGTGTACTTGGCTCTGGACCCTGGGACCCTGAGCCCCTGCTAAGGTCCCTTACTTCCAGTCTATAGGCTAGAGGAGCTGGAAGCCTAGGACTAGAGGCTTCCTCAGAGACCTGGCTGAGGAAGCCAGAGTCCTGCAAGAGCTGAGGAGAGGAAAAGAAGGGAGGTCATTGCTGGGTGGGCAAGAAAGACTGGGCAGAGGTGGAGTCAGGGGGTCTCACAAAGCCCAGGGCCTCCAACCATCCCCATCCTGAGTCATCTGGGTGAGGGGCTGGGCTCTCAGACAGGCGTTACTGTGGAGAATTGAACTGGGTGCAGATAAATTTCAGTTCCACGGATTCCAGGGGTTGAAAATCGTCAAATCTCTGAAGCTAAGTATAATACAGAGTCTGGGTAAAGTCATTAACTACTCCCAAGGAGGAGGGCCTCCGAGAGGAAAGCTGAGGTACACTGGCTGGGCTGCAGACAGAGCAAGAGCAAAGAGGAGTCACTGCCGCTTGGACACCCCAGGACAGACTCCAGAGAGCACACAAACTGCCATGACCTGGCCACCATTCTCCCCTGGAGGGCTCTGGCTCAGGTCTCAGGCAGAGCCAGCTCCCTGGACACCTGATTCGTCCATCAGGTTTCCACCAGGAGTCAAGACTTGCTGCATGGAAAAAGGGCTGGGCAGTGAGCACCAGAGGCTGTTTCCGGCCAGAAGGCAGTCTGGTCTCCAAGTGAGGTTCCACCTCGGCTGCTCATTGCCCTGTTTGTCCCTGCCTTCCAGTGTTTGGTCCCTTGGAGCTTTTAGAGCATCCTGAGGACAACCAGCTTCTCCTACAGCCCCTTTGAACCCTCACCTAGCAACTGCCCTGGCCTTCTAGCCCCAGCCGTCCAGTCCTTAGCTTCCCGAAGCCCATGACAAGCTAGGGAGCCTTGGGCCTGGGGCCGGCCTGTGCTTTAGGGCCCAGGGTGTTCCTCTGGGACTGTTATATATATCAGTTTATAGGTGATTATATGATATGATATAATCAATATTGCATTATATACAGTAACATCGTACAGTATCGTTTGGGAGACCATAGAAAGTATTACATATTGATTACCCTCAATCTACAGCCGTCCTCCCTTGCAGGCCTCCCAGATGGGGCAAAAGGCACTGCTTTCCAAAAGGACCTCCCGTCCCCTACCCAACTGTTCAGGAGCAAAGAAAGCATGTGTGTGTGTGGTGAGGGAAGAGGTAGAGAGAGAAAATATGGAGAGCTAGGCAGAGAGACAGAGAGAGAGAGAGAGAGAGAGAGAGAGAGAGAGAGAGAGAGAGAGAGAGAGAGAGAGAGAGAGAGAGAGAGAGAGAGAGAGAGAGAGAGAGAGAGACCTGGTAGTTGTATTTTTTTTGTATGGTTCTGGAACTATGTGTGACCCTGTAGGGGAACTACAATACAATGTATGCTTATTTTCCCCTTTGTGTGAGTGTGTTCTCTCTCTCTCTCTCTCTCTCTCTCTCTCTCTCTCTCTCTCTCTCTCTCTCTCTCTCTCTCTCTCTCTCTCTCTCTCTCTCTCTCTCTCTCTCTCTCTCTCTCTCTCTCTCTCTCTCTCTCTCTCTCTCTCTCTCTGTGTGTGTGTGTGTGTGTGTAATAAACATCTGGGTGAATAAGGGTGTGGATGAGTTTGAATGTTGGTACGAATCTTTATTGGAAGAACCCATGCTCACAAGGAATGTGAGGCCATGTCCCCTTCCTCCTACGAGCACTCCTCTTCCCAGGGTGCACATCTCCCTGCCTCCACTTCCTGTCACTGTCTCCATGTTCTACTGCGCCTAACTGTCTCTGCTTGCAGCCCTCCTGCCTTCTGGGGGAAGCCCTGCTGCTAGGGCTGAGTGAGAGTAGCATCGAGGGACTTGTATTTATTGCTCCTACCGAATGTCTATGAGCATGCCTTCAAATGTGTGTGAGCACACACATGTGGGAAGACACATTTCATGTCTCTGTGTGGATTTGTGTACATGCCTGTGTGTGGCTTGCCTCACCCTGTGACCGAGAGGTAGGTAGGTGTGTGTGTGTGTGTGTGTGTGTGTGTGTGTGTGTGTGTGTGTGTGTGTGGGGGTGTGTGGGTGTGTGTGTGTGTGTGGGGGGCTAAAGCTTTGTCCTCAGGTCACTGGCTGGAGGAGTCCCTTTGCCTTCATTTATTCAGGGGCCCTTCAGATCTTGACAAATCTGTCACTCTAAATTTGCGAGAGATTATGGTGCTCTCTCCCCAGCCCGCAGAGAGGTGATATATGATATCTGCTGCCCCTATTGATTGCCTGATCTGGTGGCAGAGGCCGGCGAAATGAACTTGAAATGAACACCATGCCTCAACTCATTGTGCGTATAATACACTACTTAATCCCACATTTTTCAGCCGCTATGGAATTCAATTGATCAATCATGTTCCACTGATAGTACTGTTTTAGGGGTTATTGCTGCTCCCCCCACTCACTGACCTTTTATTTATTTATTTTTTTGTTGTTGTTCACACTGGCCCTGGTGGTAAGACAGGTTACAGAGGCAGCAACAGAAATCTGGGGAGGGCTGGAAGGGAAGGAAAAAGGAAGCTTGCTCCTGGAAGAGGAGATGCTGGGAGGTGGAGACAGAAAGAGAAGAAGGAAAGTGGGGGAAGCCAGGAAGGAAGGAAGCACTCATGGCCAGAGCAGGAGGACAAAGCTTGCAGAGAACTCAGGCTGGAGGAGTCACCAAGTGGGAAGAAAGGCCAGGAGGAAGCACCTTCGTCTGGAAAGGCAGGGTTTTGATGAGCAGTGGAGCAGTGTGATGGAGGGACTCAGGTCAGGGGAAGGGTCAGATAAGTGAGCTACGGGGCAGGGAGAAGACAGTGAGTGCACCTATTGGTGGGGAGACAGGGACATTTCCCTGCAATTCAAACACAGCCTGTGCTGTTGCTGGCCTGCTCTGTGAAGGGATGATGCCCTTCCTTTGGGAATGAAGGAAGGTGGGAGGAGCTAAGGCAGAGAGAGGGCAGATAGAAGCAAGGAAAAGACGTGGGAGGGACCAAGGGCCAGGAAGGTACAAAGAGGAGATGCTTCTGCAAGAAGAGAGACAGGGAAAAGGAAGAGACCTTCCACACCAAAAACTGAGAGGCGCTAGATGTGGTGAAGACACTGGAGTCACTGCCGGGTGTCCAGCTTTGGAGAACAGCCTGGAGCGAGGAGGGGGTGAGGTGGGAGCCTAGGAAGAGGAGGGAAGGGAGAGGAGCATAGAAGGAAGACAAAGCATGAGAGAAGAGGCTGGGGAAGTAAAGAAAAGTGGCTGGCAGTGCTAGCCAGCTGGAGTGCCCTCCCAGAAACCATGGAGGGAGCACCCGAGCATATGGAGAAGCTGCTGCAAGGGCTAGCCAGAGCTTGAAGGGCTGCCTGGGAAAGCTGTGGACACACTGGCAGAGTCAGAATTGAGTCCTGACCTAGCTTCTCAAGTGAGAGGGAAGGAACACTTGAATGTAGTTAGGTAGCATCAATTGCAAAGAAACATCCCCACCCTCAAGAAGCTGGGTTCTGAGCTCCTATGGGCAGGGACCATGCATTTCTGAAACTCTTTGCTAGGCATGGCACATATCAGGTACTCGATGAATGAATGAATGAATGAATGAGATTCTCCCTTGTGGTGTTCAGAATGAGACTCCTGTCAGAAATTTTCTAGACTGGCTAGTCTCACCTGATTGGTCCAGCACAAGTACAGTCTGTCATTTGTCAGGTCAGTCCCACTTCCTGTCAGCCTCTAGCAGTATCTACTCTGATCCCTGAGAAGTCCTTCCTGCCTCAGCATACCACCTACTTACCCACAGTGCCCCTAGCTAACAGAAAACATTGTTCATGAGTAATGCCATCTACCCACAGTGCCCCAAGCTAACAGAAAACACTGTTCCTGGTTCAGGGAGAATTAGCCTTGGAATCAAAGTTGCTCCATGACAGGGATCAGAGTCTACATTTGAAGCCTGGAGTATGGTGCCCATATGGTCTGAACTTTCTGGAACAATCCCTACTTACAGTTTCTCTTTCAACTCTCAGGCCATGCTTTTACAGAGAGGCTGAAAATACTGCTGTTGCTTAAGTCTACCCAGTGCTATGATAGGACCATGTGCTGGCCTAGTAGTCACCACCGATGGGCCAATCCTGCTTTCCCCTGGCCTCTGCCAGACCCCCTAGCACTGCACAAGGATCAGGAGCCCCTTGGACTGGAGATGTGGCTCAGTGGGAGCATTTATACAGCACATTCGAGGTCCTGGATCTAATCCCCAGTATTATAAAGCAAGCAAACAAACAAAATGACGAAAAGCATTCTAAAGCTGTCCATGGTAGTCCATGCCTGGAATCTCAGAATTCAGGAGGCTACAGCACAGATATTGAGTCCCAATCCAGCAGGAACTATCTTGTGAGCCCCCTGTCTCAAAAGAGCTGAAAACTAAAAAGCAACACTGCTTTGGAGTTCATTTAATCCTTCCAATAATGCTGCGAAGTAAACGCTGGGGCTCTTACTTTATGCATAAGGAAACCAAGACAAAGGATATTAAATAGCTTTTTAAAGACTGTGCCCCTAGTAAATGGCAATCTAGATTTGAGTCGAAGTCTGATATGAGAGCTTGTCACCTAACTGACTTTACTCTGAAGCCTAGGTACTGAACCCAGGAATCTAGCTGAGGGCCACTTGACCCTATTCAGGGTACATCTCCAGTTCTTTGCTGGCACTTTTCCCTGTAGTGAGGCTAAGCCCTGTGTGTGTGTGCTGACTGAGCACAGACTGCACAGATGATTGGGGCACTACACTTACCATGTTACAGTTGTGGAGCCTGGCTAGGTGGCTGGGAGGTAAGAGGCCAGTTCTCCCGGGTCCCATAACTAGGTGGTAGGACTTTTAGGTCAGGGGCCATTCTAGGGGCTCTTTCCACTATAGCCTGCTTATTCCCAG